TTTTTACATGACAGGAACAGCAATGTATGATTGTATATACAACATTCAACCAGTGTTGGCCATTGTATGATGTCTATGTGTAGTCAGTGATGAGGCTCTGCCTCATGCTAAAAGAGTAAGCTTTGATGTGATCATCAATCCGATACTGGGATCAAAATATGTTGCTCCAAGAATGTTAAAATGGTGTAAACAGCTTCCCTAAATGACACAATAGGAGTGAAGTTCTTCAGAGTCAGTACTGTCGTCGCCAACAGTTGAAGTCGTGCTTGATTGACCAGGTTGCAGTATACTATACACTGTCAACTATTGCATGATATTCTGATGTGATTGTTTCCTGGTCAACAGTAATCATCGATGCTCACGATGTTGTTTACCCTTGCCAGCCATGTTAGTGTCAGAGTTGCTGTCGCTGTCAGTTGGATCACCAAGGTTATCTTCTGCTGGAGAATCTTCACAGGAGATACAAAGCCACAGTGTTGAAACATCCAGATATTATAGAGGGAGACACGGAGTTCCAGGAGAGACAAAGCAGTGCATGGCATCCAAAAGATTGAGTTGAACTCTCTGTTTCCTTCCTTCGATGCTAGAAGTTAGATTCCTTCTGTAGTGAACGTTAAGATTTGTATGATGCCCTAATCACATAGTTGGCTTTTACAAGTGGTACTCAGAGGTAAGAAAACAAGCTTGATAGATTGGATTGGATATTAGGGTGAGCTGGGCAATTATCAACGACCTTTGCCACCTTCCTCTTTTCTCGTAGAAACTTGGCATCCAGCTTAGGTAGCCATGTTGAAAAGAGATCACTCACCATCCATGCTTTGCTGTTTGCTGTTTGCCATACTGAACTGGGATGCTTCGCGCATTCTTGAAGCACCTGGACTTTGCATACCTTTCAATTACTACCAAAGGCAACTTTTCACTGCCTGACATGTTGTCACATACCAGCACTGTGGTCCTGTCTTAACATTTCTTGCATCCACTACACTTCTCACCCTTCATTAACCCTCGGCGCACATGCGCAGCAAGGGTTACGGTAGTCGTTCTGTCTGTCTGTCTGTCTGTCTGTCTGTGTGTCAACGCTTATTCTGGCACTACAGGCTACGAGGCGACCCATTAGCGATACCAGTGGCTTCAGAACAATGAGCCTGAAAAATATAAGGCCGAATTTCCTGAAACGACTGCGTTCGAGAGCAACAAACTGGCACGGTCATGTACCACGTTGCGTGGTCCAACCCATCAATAAGCGGTGCGCATGCGTACGTATATTAGACGTGATAAACTCGTTATGCTGGCTCACCTCGTCCTGATTCACTTGCTCTGTGTACCTTGGAGGTGCAAGAAGCTACAGCGAAGTGCATGTATCGACTCCTGCATGCTATCTACTACCGTAGCTAGCCCATGTCAGACTCTCCGCGAGCTACTAGCGGGAGACCACGGGTAAATGCCAATAGCCTATTAGTGGTACCGCGCATGCGCAGTTTGCTGAGGGTTTTCACGCACTTTAGTGCTTTTCATTGACATATTTAAATAATCCTGTTTCGTCGGCGTTAAGTATATTGTTCGGTCTAAACACCGCTAGGAGAGCGGGAAATTAGCAAGAATTCCAATCCCTATCGTTTTCTCTCTTACCTAGGTTATCCTTCTAAAAGCCATTCCGTGTCAGGCTTTCGTTCCAGCCACCCAGTAAGAAATTGCGAAGACCAAGTATCAGAGTTGATTCCTTGGCCTTTGATCGGACCATAGGTACATTCATGCTTCTTGCCTGTCTGAACCAGATAAAGAGCGCTTCCTCCAGTTCTCCTGAGCTCCTTGACGCATTCGCTTCCATGTAGGAACAAACTTAGACGCACAAAACAGCTCTCGCAATCTCAAAATCGAAGACAATGAACTTTTAGGTATATCGAAAGACTTTGCCACCTCAGATTTTCTCTTGTCGCCTGCTTCAACAGCCTCGATGATAGCTACTTTTATCGCTAGGCATACAGCTGACGCCGTTTTCGTCCAGTCATCACTCAGGGACCAGCTACTGACAGCCGTCCACACAATGTGGTCACTCCGTGTGCATATATGCCGGACTTCTCTCACATGAACCACGAGGGAGTCTAAATGTGCGTACTTCCGAAGCGAAATTGCGCAATAGCCGTGTTTGCGTAAAGCGAAGCAATATGTATGGTTCCTTATGGCGTTATGCGGGGACCACAAGTGTTTGCTTCATCCAGAATTTTATTTCTAAGCGTTTTGGTATTAATGCTGGCACTGTTCAATGAATAATGTCTTGAGGTAGCTAAACAGTGTAATATTTTCACTTTTGTCTCCATAGAAACACCTTTTTTAACATACTTTAGAGTCAACAGGTGGGACGCAGAATTGCGACGTAATTGAAGAGTTAATTTGGTGTCAGTGAAAGAAATCAGCTCAAATTTTTGGCGAGAGCAACCCAACCTAGTTCAAATTCATGTATAACTTAACTCGAGTCTCTAAAGCTTCTTTGAGTGCTACATGTGGAATGCTTGTGTACAATGTAGAGAAGTCGTAGCTATCAAAATACCTGGCCGTAGAAAAATAATTAAAGTTGAAAACACCTGCTGGGAGTTATAAAAACAATTTACTCCAGTCCTACAAAAAAATGGCGTTACAATATTGTTTATAGTGGTTGTTAAGTTTTAAGCAGGTTTAGATAAAGGTTTTGTAGTGCACCTGTGTGATGCAGCTATGAACCAAGTACCATAAGTTGTGTATTTAAATAAGGCGTTCACCACCAATCCAGGCTGTTTAGATATAATTATTACTCACACCTCTAACGATGTCATTTAGCCCATGCGGGTAGTAGGTACACAGTTCCCTACACCAATAGTCTTCCCTTTCCAGTCGTATTGACGTTAACATTAGCGCTATCACTAGATGGTATTTATTCAATGGGCATAATGCAAATATCATCTCCAGAGTGACTGTCAGAACAAAAATGATGGTATAAATATAGGTTCGTCAACCTATTCAGGCTACTTCTGTCATTGTTTAACCGATTCTAAGCTTCTGACTTGTCTCACCCACACATTGAATGCCACATTTATTACATGATATTAATAGAAGGTAGAGGAAGAGAAAGGACCGTAGACATAGAAAGAGGCTGAATTTAAAAGATCTAACTTCTAGTCTTGAGAATTGTTTACATATTATAGTTATAAGTCTCGTTTTTTGGGTTTAATATTAGGAGTTTAGTCTTTAGCTTACCAGTGAAATGGATGGGAGTATTATGGAATGTTTTTCAATGTTGGAGGCAGACACATGATGTACCTGATCGCATTGCGTGTTGCTTTTTTATACACACAGATGGTAGTAGAGAGTGGAGTAATCCCAGTCTTGGTTCCTATTCTTACTCACCCTGACAACAAAGTGTTGGTGAGTCACCCGAGCTAGAGTACTTTCCCTATAACCATTATGACGACATGTGGAAATTAATATGTTGTGGACAGGTGTAGCATATTCACAGTGCAGGAGAATCACATTATCCTCTGCATTTTCGTAGGATTTGCTATATGTCCCATTATGAGAAAGAATGAACATCCCTGTGACAGAAAGAATAACCCCATCCCTACACCCTTTTGCTAAGCTGATTTTGTTAATCGGTATTTTCATAAGAGAATCTCTTTGAGTTGGGGAATAGGTGCTTTTAACACAAACATGCAGAGCGCTGACCTAGAATGTGGGTCGTGGGTTCGAATCCCACCTAGGGCAGCTCTCCTTTTTTCCTTGGAGAAAAGAGCTGTCATGGGTGTAGTTGACTTGTTTTTTGTTCCTTTGTGCCGTTCACACATGCAGTTAGACATTTGCTCACCCTGAAAGAAAATCTAACAATTTTCAATAATATTAGTTTTGCTACCGTACTTTCTCAGCTGTTGATATCATTCACTACTGCTGTATCAACCCTCTGTCTTTTTTTCGCTCCTTTTTTGCTTTAGCTGCCTGTACTACGGACATTGGGCAACATTACCACTGGCTCCACTGAGGAAACCCAGGCTGTGTTGGATGGAGGGATTCTCCCATATCTCCCTAACCTTGCTACTGACACCACGCCTGACATCAGTGCAGTAGGTCATGCTATCTCCAGGGTTCTCCTTAGAGCGTGTAAGCGCAGTTCCGCGCATTAATTCGCCGCCATCGAGCATTAGCTATTACCCCCCGCCCCCGCGTGGTATTGAAATTTAGTGCGCGTGCGCGACTACATGCACGGAGCATGTGTTCTGAAGAACGAGAACGAGATAATGGCAAAGATGGTGAAGATCACAAGCTATTTCTATTTTACACGAAGCAGTGAGGCCGATGAGTGCAACAACATGGAGCTTCTCTCTGAAGGTGATAATCAGCCACTCTGCGTGAGTGCAGCCAGGACAACTACGGTAGTGACAACGAGCTCCCGCAGAATGGTGACAATGAGCACCCGCAAGCTATCGGAGCTTCCTCCGCTCATTAGTTTTTTCCTGTATCTCATCAAATTTTTATACCTTTATACCTTGTTATAGTAATGGCTGATTGCTATGTGATTCGTATGGGATTACGAGTTTGTTAGCAACAGTCAATCAACAAGATTTGTCCAAGGACCTTCATCAGCCAACATTTATACTTACCTGTTAAACACTGTTGTATTTACGATTACAGTCAACAATTTACGTTTACAGCCAACAAAGGGGTCGTATGATAATTAAGTCCTTCAGGCTTGATCCTGCAAGCATTTTATAATTGGTAGATCGAACAACTGTACTGACGATCATGCTACTTCCAGGCTCTTACGCTCTCTAGAAATAGTGCCATCTGTATAATTGTATACTGTGGTACAAGTTGCTCAGAATCCTGAGACTGTCATCGTATAGCCCGAGTCCATAAGTCCTCCGGCTTCCCGTCGGGCTATGAGTACTCACCTGGATTCTTAGTAATATTTTTGTTTTGTAATGCAGGAGGTTATGTGGATGCTGTCGAATATCGTCGCTGATAGTGAGCACCATATTCAGGTTTGAACAGCATCATTGAAAGAATGTGTAGTTTTTTCCTCTGCAGATGGTGATTGATGCTGGTCTCATGCCGGCGGTAATGGAGAGGCTGGGGTGTGGTAAATTCTCTGTCCAGAAAGAGGCCGTATGGATCGTCTCTAACTGCTTAGCTGTAGGCACACCTGAGCAGGTGAGGTCTCAGCTTTCTTTCCTCTCCTTTAACATATGGGGCCACAACAATGTAAGTCAACGTTGCAATATTATGCTCCCTCGTGTTAGACTGCTGTCGAGCAGGTGCAATTGCAATATCTTGTATCCTTTATAGCCATGAAAGATAATTAAGTACTAAGTTTAATGTTATGCAAAGTTGCAGGTAGAGAAGCAATCCGAGTAGTAACATGGTGTGTGCCTTTAAATTGAGGCAGGAAAGCTTTAGCCCTGTGATGGCCTGAAAAAGACTGAAAACATAAAAGCTATAGGCATGCCATAAACCTCAAGCCTACAGATTATATGTATTTTCTACTTCAAAAATAGTTCATTCTCTCACCCTGTTGTTTCCAGGTAAAGTACATGGTAGAACAGGGAGCTGTGGGAACCCTCTGTCATCTCCTGGCCTCCTACGCCACGCCCTCAGTGAGTATTCCCCAGTATTCTTCTCTTTTTCTATTCCGCTTCTTGGATTTACTAAACCTCACTGGTCCCCCTCCGTCTTTCACTTTGTTTTACCTTCTAGCTAGAATATTAACTTTTCCATAATATAACATGAGGAGGGAGTTAGACAAACTCGTTGTCCCAAGCATCAAGTAAATGCTCAAAGTTTGCAATACTGGGATTTGTCTGTCTATGGTGTACACAACAAGACAAAACTTTTCCTTGGTTCTAAACTCCAAGGGAGTCTATACTTTATTAAGTTTTTTTACATGTAAGAACCCAGAGGATGTAGTTAGTTTTAAATATGAGTTTAACCAACGTCATACTGCGATAGTCAGAAATCATCTGGTCGAAACTACTGCCGCCAGGCAAGTCAGAGGAGCCCAATTACCGGCTTGCCTATGTTTTGTCAAATCTAGCCTTTTATGCAGCAAGAGTCCTTTTGGTGCCCTTTTTTCCTGTGGTTATTCTGCTATGTGATAGGTAGCATAGGACTAAAAAAGTACTCTGTCGAATTACAGATGATCACAACCATCCTGGATGGCCTCAATAACACCCTAAGTAAGGCAGGTGAGGACAGTGAGGTCATCTTGACTCAAATGAAGGAGGCTGATGGATTGGACATGATTGAGAAACTACAGCAGCACGGGGATCAAAACATTTACCGGCTGGCCTGCAGCATTAAGAGCCATTTCCCAGATGTGGTGGGTGTGATGAAGGTTTTTGGTATTGGTAGCTACTGACGACAACAGCCACAAACTAGATTCTGGGAGTTATATGTTCAAAGCCAATAGATGGTATTTAATGTTTTGGCGTCAAACCTAAGCGAACAAGCTAATATGGCTAACTATGACTGCATTACACATAATTATTTGCTGACCATCGATACATCAGAAGTTAAACAGAGGGTGAGTGCCGAATGTCCCAATGCTATCTACTAGTTTAGCTATCTAGTGTTAAACTTTCAGAGAAGTTATAATAATAATAGTGAGAGAACACGAGTAATGTACAGTGTACACCAGCCCATAAATTAGCAGTACTGGCCTGCGCATGTGTATGTGATTAATTCGTGTGTTTCTAGCACACCCAGGCAGCGTTTCCACTTTAGTGTATATATTAACCCTCAGTGTGCATGCGCAGCCAGGGGTGCGCTACTTGGTTCGTTAGTTTGTGTGTCTGGTCTTGCAAATAGCCCAGCCAATCAATTAGCAGTACTGTGCATGCATAGGGTAGGCGGGCAGTTATGAGACACCTTAAGTGACTATAATTTTATTATGAGACCACTTCCGGAGCTCAAATTTCTGTGTATACTCAAGACTTTTTATGCACCTATTTGGACTTATTTAACCGCCTTTTTCATAAAATAAAAAAGGTATATACAGAAAATGTGATGTAAATGTGGGACAGAGTACCCTTTATGAGACAGTCACACTCTTTACAGCAGTAAGCCATTCCTAATCATAAATCTATGTTACACAAATCTCATCCAATAATATTATTACTGAACACGTATTAGACAAGCACTATGACACAGAATTTCACAGTAGAACACATGCGGTAGTATTTTAGAATTACTAATGTTTGTGCAGGGCGAGTTAAATCAATTCTGACGGCCATCACATGCTATCCACATGCTATTGTCTGCTGAGTACAGAAGTCCACACTTTGGGCATTTGGTGCCGGACTCATTTGATCCATCTAACGATAAATCAATCGCTGAAACCTTGTCCTGAATCCTATTACCCTTCCTCATACTTCCTCCCTTCTTTCGGACCTACCGTCTCTCTACTTGCACTTGCTGTCTCTCTCCCTTGTCTTGATTACCCGTCCTCCTACTTTCTCTCTTCTCTCAGACTCCATCTGTTCGCACTTGCCGTCTCTCTTCTTGTAAATTCTGTCTCTCTGCTTGCTTTTACTGCCTCTCTGCTTGGTTTAACTTAACTCCTTTGCCTGCATAGCCTGCTTCTTTTAATCTAAGCACAAGAGTAGTGTGTGCCGGTAGGCACAGAATGTGCACATTGTTAGCACGAGTCAGCTCGATCACCTCAGTGGATGTGTGAGAAAAACCGAAACCATTCTAAATACGAATTGATCCACCCACTCTCACTAGCAAAGAATGTATCAGGAATAGCTCCCTCTTTCACGCTCTCAGGGACACACCTTTTCCTAGGGTGGATTGTCATCGGTGGGAGGACATACTCAGAAGCTGATACACAAGCAAGCACGGTGTGTGTTTTTCGCCTTTCAGCCGACGTCAGTGCATAGCCTCTGCCTCCCCGTCTCAGAGATGACTTTCCCCACCTTATGTACAATACTTTTACCAGTCTCATCACCATTGCATAGGCTTTGTAATGAGATTTAGGCGACCATAAAAAGATCCGAGCTTGGCAAAAAATATATGAACTGTTGCTTGGTTGGAGGAAATGGCTCGGCAGTAAGAGAGTAGCTGTGAAGATAACTGTGAGTGGCACTGTCAGAATCCCTCGAATCATGCACTGTAGGCCTTTCCACTGCGAAAGGGATTATTTCGCTCACTCTTCTGTCATTCCATAGCTAATATCCGACATTTTCACCAGATACCATAAGTATGGTTGCTGGCCCTGGTCTGGCACACTACCGTTAACATGCCTCCTAATCGTCTCAACGGGAATGTTATAAAGCCCTGCCAGTTCCCTCGAACCTCTATTCTCGTGTAGATTACTGTTCACCACCACTTGCATAGTTTCATCCGACCACAACATTCGCTTTGTCACCCAGTCATCTGTCTGCAAGATAGCTTGGTTATGAAGAAGTGCCATGATGCCACGTAAATCTTACCAACAAAGGAAAAGCAACCAGAGCAGAGAGAAAGTATGTGTTCGCCAACATTGCGCATACGCGGCCGCCAAACATTTCCGGTCAAAGGTCACAGTACACGTGTGCAGAGTAGCTTAGCTACTGCCTAGCAGCGAATCGAGCAGGGTTGAAGCAAATACCACAGCATATGATAAAGTGTCTCATGATACCAGCCATGCCACATAGTCTTACAAATATTTAGCCAGTTTATTGTTCTAGCTTTATCAGGGGGTAGCGTTCAGAGTAATGCTAGGCTGGTCACACATCCCCAAGTATATACATTAATCCCTCAAGAATGCGCTGTAGCTCTAAAGCAACTTGTATCGTTTATAGGCCACATTGTGGCCTACAGTGCCAGAATAAGACAAACAGACGCACACATAGGCAACTGTACCAATCCCTATGTGTTCGCTCCGAGGGTTAATAAAAAGCACTTAAGTGGAACACGAGTGCCTGCAGTGATGTTTACCGAAGTGACAGTTCAGGCAAACTGCTTATGCTGGCAGCAAACCAGAGAACTGCACCATCAGGTAGCTCATGCATCATATCCATTATTCACTGATTCCTCTGTGTTGGTATCCTGCCAGCTTATGCTTTGAGATTATCACAGCAATGCAGAAAACACCTGCTGATCTGTCACAAAAATAATCTCTGTGGTGGTCAATTCAGTTTTCTACCATTTTTGTAAGCATGCACTTTTATGTTGCATTGAGGATTTGCACTAATGTGTGTATTGAGGCATTCAAACATTATTAATTTCTATTCTCCCTTTTCTGCTGTACATTTACACTCACACTCTTTCTTTCTACCTCATCATCTCTCACTTCTCTCTTCTCTCCTTCATCCTTCTCTTCTTAGTAGGTAATCGCTGAAACCGATTGAGTACTATTCAGTCAAAATCACAGATGAGATTTTACCCCCTGTTTTGATGCAGTAGTTATTTGTCTCTCTGTACACATTTTGAGTGTAATCATAATTTTGTACTGCTATATAAAACTTTATACTACACCTTCAGGCCAATATACAGCTTTTATATTAACTAAGACAATCAGAGTCCAATTGGTACATTATATGCCTGGGGTCTGTGTTACGCAGACATATTATTATTTTACTGACACAGCTTTGGGCTCAGGTAACAAGCCATTCTGTTTAGCAGCAGAATGTATTGCGTGCCACCATCTGCAGCTTTTTTGAAAAAGACTGTGAACTGATCCCACACCGCTAAACATGCCTTTGCTCTTGCTCTAGGGAAACAGAGATTCATTAACCCTCGGCGCGCATGCGCAGCAAGGATTTTACAGCATATACCGCCAACAACATAACCCGTATGGCTCTCCAATGCTCATCCATGAGAGCCCGCATTCTCATCACAAAGCTCAAATTCTGCTAAAGGTCGTCACAGGCGATCTCTCTCTCTCTTAGTGCCCAAACTTTCCGCTCACTTTCCGTCTCAGACGTTGAGTCTTTACTCATAGTTCGACAATGCGAGTCTAGTACACTAGACCGGACTTCACCACATCCGTACTTACATCCCCCAACATGCAGTGTCTCTCTCTCCTCAATAAAAATGACTTACTGCAGCTCGACCGCTCTCTACTTTTGTCCGACATCGCCTCTCACCCATCTCAGATTTTTGTTATATAATAGGATTGCCTCCAGCCAAGAGGGAAGTTGGTCAAAGCTATGGGACCCTAGCTCTAGAGCGAGGTGTCTTCGGAACCACATGCATCCAAGCTGTGTTGAAACTTCTCTCCCTCCATCTCCACTCAAATAACATGTGGCCTTAGAACTACGTGAGCACAATGGCGATTCTCTTAAACGACTGCGTTCAAGATATATATTCCGTGAATTTGCATAATCACACTTGGCTTAGCTACTGCGGATCCTTGGAGGCACAAGAAGCCACGACTGTAAACAGGCGCACGTCTGCTCTCATTGTTGGGCCCAACTCGTAATCTCTCTGGAAATGACAGTCACTGACTATGTTCTATACAGGTATGATGATATACGATATAATAATAGGGAAATAATAATAATGAATATTATTATTGTAGATGTCCGTCTAATGGCTATGTCTGCCCGCCATGAAGCTCGACCCTGAACTTGTATGGTTGTCCTGTCCCTGTTTGTGTAGCTATAATAGATCCACAGGTGGTCCAGCAAGTCGGTATGGGTGTCGCACAGTCTTCCTAAGGGGGTACTTACAGGTAGAGGGGGGTTAGAACTTCTGCAAAGATTATGAGGCTGCTGTGTGTTAGTCCCATTAGTTTGGCATGTTATAGTTGGCACTCCGCCTAGCTTAGGTGTAACTGGGGTAGGGGATGAGGCTGAGCCTGTATCACTGCCGTCAGCCACTAAATCGGTGTTGAAGTGCATTCCATGTGTCCGAACGGCTTGAGGATCCTGGCCCGGAAGATCATGTCGGATATCCGGCCTGGTGCTGGCAGTTTCCATACCCATTACTATTAGAGGCTCCTCGGAAGGTGACAATGTCATATCTTCATTGACAGTATATACACTTCCGTTGGATATCTCTCCCATGAGTATACTATAATAATTATACATCATTCGAGGACTGGGGGGCGGGTCATCATCCAGTGGGCTGAGAGGGAGAATGATGAGGCAGCTCCTGGTTATCTGCTGGATGGCCTTACTTTGAGGTCCTGCGGTCTGACTTTACCGCTCCCGACTCGATATCCGAGATAGCCGCACTCCGCCATGGCAAATTGGCACTTCTTAATTTTCACTGTGAGGCCCATCTGCTGGATGCAGTCTAGGACGGAGGAGAGCTGGTGGAGGTGGGCATTCCACGCAGTGCTGAAGATAATGATATCGTCCATGTAGGCGCTCGCGAATTCTTCGAGACCCTCTAAAAGTTTGTCCACCATCCTCTGAAAGGTCGCTGGAGCCCCTTGCAAACCAAATGGCATTCTTGTAAATTGATATAAGCCATATGGTGCTGTCTTGGGTTTATCCTCCTCTGCGACCGGAACTTGCCAGTATATACCCCTTCGTGAGGTCTAGAGTAGTGATGAATGTGGCGTTGCCGACGCGATCAATGAGGTCCTCCACTCTCGGCATGGGATATGCGTTCCCTGCTGATCTGGCATTTAAGCGTCAGTATAATCAACGCACAGACGAGTGACGATTTATCCGTTTCTGTTGACGTGACAGGCGTGGTCGAGGTGCTGTGGACAGGAACAGATCATCGCTGAAAGTGCTCCCCAGTGGGGGGTTATTCGCTTTGGGAGTCTGGCCACAAACTGGGGTGGGGTTCGCCCCACTCTCTGCCTCCTGCATATGCGTGCAGCTTCGGCCTCCTGACGGGCCTTGGCCTGGGTACGCTTTGCAGTAGATGCGAAGGAAGGATGGAAGAATAGTCGTTTTCAGGCTCGCGTAGTCTGAAGCCGTTGGGATATATAGCTAATAGGCGCCTCGTAGCCTGTATAAGCGTCGACACACAGACAGACACGCAGACCAACTACCCTCGCTGCGCATGCGCGCCGAGGGTTAACAAGCGAAAGGCATAATCGCACGGGGCTGCGACCTGGTATGCTTTCTCTGTGTTATACCTTGGGGGCTCAGGAAGGCACAACGAATGGCATGTATCGACTCTCGCATGCTATCTACTGCTGTAACTGGCCCGTGTCAGACCCTCCGGGAGGTATATACTAGCTAAAAGCACGGCAAATGATATGCCCCACTAGGTAGCATGCGTACCTCATCTGCAGCCTATCGCAGAAGGCTGTGGCGGTCTTCCTCGACTTTGTTGTGACAACCTCACACAGAACCCTTTTGTAGCGGCCTACAGTCTGTTTTGATGCGTATATGTGCTTCTACGAGGCCCACAAACACTGCATCGCAACCGCACCGACTTGTAGGTAGCCTCGTTCCCAGGCCTTCCGCGAGAGAGAGGGAAGGCCTGGTACAGTTTGCGAATGCGCTATCATTTAGGAATGCTATAGAATACGTCTCAGAAATTGTGGGCGTGCATCGCGCGCAACGTAACACCGCGTAGTCTCGCTAGCTATAGCGCGACTAAACACCGCGCGACTAATGTGAGGCTCACGCAGGCGGCCCAGCTTGTAGAGCCGTGTAGCAAAGAGATTTCCCAAACCGGTTGATAACCAAATAAAAGTATCTTTTCCGCTCAGTACAGCTCTAAGGGAGCTCTCCTGCTCATTTATCAGCTGCAAATCTGGAGAGTGCAAACGCTGGAGAGCGTACGCAACAGCTTTCTCGAACTCGCTCCCTCTCAAAACGGATATTATGCGACAGTATACGAGAGTGACGTAAACCAACACGGAGATATCCGTGCGCGATACGGAATTCCTGATGTTGGGAAATTTCAGCACATGCGCAAACAGTGCCCTCTCGGAAGGCCTGGGAACGGCTGACATTATACGAACGTCATATATACCGCGGGGAGAATATGGCAATACACGGGATATCCGGTATCTCAAACTTTGTGGGGGTGGGCGGGTACAGATAGTACCAGTACCGCGGTGCCTTCCTACAGTGACCGGTGCGGAGAAAATGCTGCTTGGAGTTCTCTCTCTAGTTGTCCTCACGGAGCTAAGCACCATGACTTTTTGTGAGTTTTATTGAGTGGTTCTATTGATCTTTGGTAATTCGCATAGCGTCCGAAATTGTGCACAGCACGCCAGCCCATAGCTAATATGCGTTTATACCAGAGGAAGGGAGAGAGAGAGACATGAGAGAGAGAGAGAGAGAGCACAGAATCAGATAATGCGTGTAGTAACTTCTGTAGCCCCACCACCTCTTACTTTCCTTCTACCACCCTTCATGTCCCCAGGTATTGAAATTGTCAGCGGACCGCTAACTGTGTCAAATGCCTTGCTTGGAGATATTGCACGTTTTGAGTGCGTACTAAGCAGTGAAGATCTTACACCTCGATGGAACATTAATGGAACCGATTTCACGGTTTCATCTCTTCCACCTGGTTTTCAGTTTGAGAGTCATTCCACCTTGAAAGTGTTAATTGTGAACCCAGTGAAGCAAGAGTTAAACAATACCTGTTTCTACTGCTTTCTTCTCCTTATTAATGCTCGTGCAGAAAGCCCACCAGCTAAACTCATTATTCAACCACCCTTGGCCACTCGCAGCTTCTCTAGTAGCAGTCGACAACCACAGGCCACCTCCAGCTTGCAGCTGATGCCCACACTTGGCTACTCCAGTAGCAGTACCTGGCAGTCCATTGTCACTCACAGCTATTCTGATACTAGTTTGATAGGTTCTACTGTTACTGCTGAATCTCCAGCAACACTACCACCAATATTGACTCCTGCTGTATCGATGATCACCACTACCAAAACTGAATCCTCAACACAGCTATTAAGTAAATTACTAATAGCTACTAGTTTCACCTAACATCTAGCTAGCTATGTCAAGTACACAAATTATATTATTTCTGCAGTTGGAGTTTACTCAGCAGTGCCTACTGTATTACTTATATCAGCCTTAAATGTTGCTGTCATTGGCTACTTGATCCACTGTAAGACCCACATAATTATATTGTCATAATGTTCATGAATCTTAATTTCAGGTCGACATAAAAGAAAGAAAGGTTCGTTTTGCAATACTATATTATTATCCACACCAGAATTATAGGTTTCTGCACATTCTCAGGTGTAAAGCAACAGGAAAGAGTGCATGGTAAGTGTAATGGCATTACATATCTACTATTATACCTTCGCTCTTTTCTCTTAGTGTACGAAGACGTGGATGCTACTATACCTGCAAGTCCAACTGATGTAAAGCAAAATCCAGCATATTCAACTACATTTGAAGTTAAAGAAAACCCTGCTTATATTACTACTACAATGTTCACACTCACTGCTACTAAAACTGACATTGTATAAAATGTGAGAAACAATAATTATGTTCCAAACAAGCGTTTATTCCATGCACACTATACTCTGCTTTGCACGCTGTTCATACAAACACCATAAGTATAGTATAGTTTATACAAAACACCATAAGTATAGTATAGTTTATACAACACCATAGTGTAGTTTTCCTTCAAGCTGGTGATGTTACACACTGTGGTAACAGCAGTGGTGGTTTTTAATTGGCCAGCTGCAGGAAGAAGCGTCATGTTGGGTGGGATGGGTGTTTGAGATGTTCCCCTCTTTCAGAGTAAAGTACGGATGGCTATGGATCTGCAAAATCTTGCAGATTTGTGATAGCCAGATAACACAAAGTGTGTAGGGGTGATTCACATGAGTTCTGGGTGTTTCAACTGCATGCACTGAACCATCTCGACGGACATATTGGCATGGGAATGAGGTGTGTAGTGTACTTGTACTCTGGTTCGGAGTGGTTCAACTGCATCGAACCTCCTCCACACACAGTGCTCTGCTCTCCTGATGTCTCTCCAGCAGAGACTGTGTGCTGTTGTCTTACCCTTCAGTCTCTCCGTCTTTGCCTCACATTCTTCCTCCCCCCAGGACAAGCAGTCTCCATGCTGCTGTGGAAGCTTATGGTATAGATACAGCCAGAGTGTCTGATGTCTTCAATCATTCCAAACTTAATTTGTCAAAACCCTTGACAGGCATGCACTACAGTCTGTCAGTGTGTTTGTTTGTGGGGGTGATCGAGGGGAAAGGAAGGGAAGGAGAGAAAGGGAAGTGACCAAACACAACACAATAAGACCAGGGGCTGGGAGACTTTTGTCAACTTCACTACACGCGGCAGCTCAGTGGTCACAAATTACATGTATTTTTAGATGGACCAGGGTACCCACTTCTGCTTATTGTTTTGCACTTGTGCCTATCACATTGTAATTACACAGTCTCACTCATACAAACACAAGAGCAGGACATGGATGCCCAGCCTTGAGAACTGGTGACGGTGGGTTAAAGATCTTTTGCGGCTAGCCAACTCTCCCCACGCATCCAATGTCACAGACTCTTATGTAAAATCTACACATTTGCAGTTCTGTACTGAGGTAGTTACAATCACATGACTTGCAATCACTAATGCACTGTGGGGTATTTACAGGGAGTTATGGAGTCATAGGTGTGGAATTTCCTAAGGATGAAGTGGGTTTGTTACTCTATGGTACTGAGGATGTATTTTACTCCAGTTATACTCACAAGTGTAAAAATGGTGTGTGTGTGTGTGCGTGTTATGATTATTCTGGCACTACAGGCTACGAGGCGGCCTTTGAACGATACCAGTAGCTTCAGAACGATGGAAGCATGTAATATAAAAGGCCATTTTCTCAAAACGACTGGTGCACTGACTCTCGCCATTCAGTAGTCTCGGTAGCTACCAGCCTCTCTCAGAAATGAGAGAGGAGAGGGTCTGGTCAACTGCCATAGTACAATATGTTCTAGACACCTTGAGATGTCAAGTGGCTGTGAACAGTAGTACTGTTGGTATTGCCTAACTTACCACAACCTCCTACACACAAATGTAGCATAGCTTGTGGGACTCCTACACAATGTTTACACTATCAGCCACTTCTATATACCCCCAGGTGTCTAGGGTGTCTATACTAGGGCAGTTGACCAGACCCTCTCTCCCTTCTATAGGAGATGGGCTAGTACCAAGACTAACAGTTCAGCACACCGTGGGAGATGAAGTTACTCAGTGGATGGGTATCTAGTCCAGCATCCAGTGTTGCCCCAAAATGCTACCATACTGCTGCAGCTAGCGAGAAACTGGCTCTGTCACAAGTGCGCATGTTGTGTGCTGCTTTCTTCTGCACATACGTATAGGGACATCGACGCTAACGGGCTCCTTGCACCGAGTGTTTGCACTTTAGTGACATGTAGTAAAAATGATGATTCATACACTATAATGAGGGCCAAAAATTGTATCTTTCCCTGTCCATTTATGACACTTCATGAACTGAAAAAAATATGACTTTGCATAATATACAGCTCCATAATATTATATTCCATTTAGCTTCTACCTTTTCCTCAGAGTCCAATAGCCCACAATGAAAGTAAGAAGCCAAATAAGACGACAATCACATGGCTTCCAAGTGTAGAGCCATGATTATTCTAAGAGGCTGTAACAAGGTAATCACGATAAGTCTAAATGGTTACAAAGAATAAATTCACGTGCGGGTCCATAGAGTGGTACTGTTACAAATGATGTTTGTACATTTTGTCCTGTGTCAAAGTACGATCAGCTACAAGAAGAAATACTCCACAACACATCCCCTCATTTTCTATTTGGGGAAATTAGCCCCAATAAAATCTGATTTGCAGATTGTAGCATGTGAACTATGCTACTTTGCTATGTGCAGAATTGTGTGATGGAGTTGGGAAGGGTGGATTACTGCCACGCACAAGGGTGGCATGGGTAAGCTGTCATGGCTAATGTCCTGAAGCAATAGGATAAGTACAGTAAACTGAAACAATGCGTCAAAAGAGTAGAGCCTGAATTATGTCTAGTGCGTTGATGTCAAGGAGCTATATATTTAGGGTGTTGGCTCCTGACAGGAGTGGTTGCTCACTATGTTCTATTATAGCTGCCCGTCTATCAGGTAAATCAGACTCACGTGTACAAGTTATTCCATCTCCAGTGTATTCCCATTGCATATACATTCCCCTCCTTTGAACTCAGCATTCTCATCACATGTCACTGAATATAATTATGTTAAGTGTGGAAACATCTGGGTTTTAAAAAGCATTGACTTACATATTACAAAGTTAAATGCCACACTGCTATAATAAAGGTCTCCACAATTCCTCTTAGGGCAGAATATTGAGACAATTGTTCCATTTCCAGCTTTGTCAACTTCAATGGCATTGCTCTACTACTGCCAAGCACTTGCTGGGAAAACTTTATCGCTAAGACATGGATTATCAAAGCAGTCAATTGATCCTCCTGATTGTACACAAATTGTGTACTCAAGTACATTTCCTCTGAAGTTGCAGTCAATAGCCGCCTCACTAAATGCATCAGCAATCAGAGTCCCGTTGTAACTACCATTTGGAATGTACCTTTTGCCTGCAGCATATAATATTAGCTATACTGAGCTAAAACTGTGAGGCTAACCAGTTGGTTTTATAGCAGTGAAGTAGTAATTATGAGGGGGTTCACAAAGAAGATCGCAACTCTCTGCTGAAACGTCAACGCTGATACTCTTCTCAGAGAATTTTCCAATATTGGTTGTGATAGTCGCTAAACCATTTTCAGCATTGACCGGTTCTGACATTTCGGCACGATTCTCAGAATCAGCACAGTCTGTCAAAAGAACAGAAACTTTGCAGTCATCGGTGTTTCTTCGAACGCCGTCAATATATATAGTCAACATGTCGTCAGCATTCGAGAAGAATGATACCTTCACATCATTGCATGAAGCATAATCAGTTGGAGCTATAATATACAAACAGAAAAATAGTAATAGTAATAGTGATTAGCTACATACTAGCTACTAGCTACTTGCCCCAGAACATAAAAGAAGGAAATGCACATAAATTGTTTGGTCTGATCAAGTGTATATAGCAATATGAAGAGGGATGCACATAAAAAGTTTCATATACCGAGATAGAGAGTCATTCATAATCCCATTACTACCAAAATTTCATACCAGCTGTAGCTAATAGCCATGTCACGTTCAATGGTGCAATGGAGTCGAGGGTACCTTCTATCTGTGCTTGCTGGCCACGACGTACAGGGCTTCCACCCCATATAAGGAAGGCAAAGATTAAAAACAGAGAAGTCCTGACTAATGCAGTGAAGCCCAGAAGTTGCGCGTGAGAGGAAATTAATGTCCCAAAAAGGGCATTACTCAATGTGCTTACTAAGCTACGAAGGATTATTTTTTCACTTTTGTACACAGTAGTGGCTGTATTTGTAAGGTGCATATAATCAAACTTGGCACACACAATGCAAACTGCTTGTGCAGAAATACTATACATCTCTCTCAAACAGATGCTCTAACTAACCACGAGGGCCTTCTACAGCAGGTTTGCTGCAAATTATATTGACGACAGATCCACCCAATATTACACCCAATAAAAACACACAGGGTGCCATTCCAAGGGAGGCAAATATTGTAAACAGAGAAGTCCTGACTGATGCAGTGATACCCAGAGGTTGTGTGTAAGAGGAAATTAATGTCCCAAAAAGGGCATTACTCAATGTGCTCTACTAGCTACGAAGGATTATTTTTTCCCTTTGTACCAGTAGTGGCTGTATTTGTAAGGTGTGCATGATAATCAACTTGGCACACACAATGCAAACTGCTTGTGCAGAATTGACTATACATCTCTCTCAAACAGATGCTCTAACTAACCACGAGGGCCTTCTCCAGCAGGTTTGCTGCAATATTGACACAGTCCCCCCATATACTCTAAAAAACTACAGGATGCATTCCAGGGAGGCAAGATTGTAAACAGAAGTCCTGATGATGCAGTGATACCCAGGGCTTGTGTAAGAGAAATAATTCCCCAAAATGAGCTCTCCGTACTAGTATCAGGGTTCACTTTGTACAGGTTAGGGGGTTATTGTAAGTGAGCTTGTATCACCTTGCACACATGCAAACTGCTTGTGCAGAAAGATTATACATTTCCTCAAACATGCTTACACCACGGGGCCATCTACGAATAGACGAAGGTGCTGCTATATTGACGACGATCCACCCCTTTACTCTAAAAAACAAAAATCTCCCTCATCTCACTGCAAATGATGCTGTTCATAGCAGTAAAGTCCCCGAAGACGACTGCTGTAACGCTCACATCATGGCCATGAGAAGTACTAGTGGTGTCGTACGACACGTGAGAGTAACAGAGCTTCCAGATGGCACATGCACTGACGCGGGTGTGAGTTCAGCGGAATAACCAGTTACATTAATCCCGCATTCAAAACCTGGGAAAGAGAGAGCAGAGATGTAGATGAGTAATTTATTTCCACTTTCCAAATGCAATTAGCTATACTTTTCTCACATGTCGTCCGTATTGCTGCAAAAGCCAATAAACAGAGCACTTGAAGTGAAAAAAACATCCTGTCGCCGCCGGGCAGTGCGAGGGTAGCGAGCAGGAGCGAGCTAACCCAGCTAGTGGTCCGAACGGGGTAGCTAAACGTCTACGAAACTCGCACAATTGTGACCTTTGGTCCGTAGGCGGGCTGCACGGCGCGGTATATACAAACCACCCACACATCCTCAGAAGTGGTCAGTCAGCACTTCGACACTTCTCAAAATAATATGCGCACGCGTAAACGCATGCTGAAGGGATGGTAGCTAACTATAATAATGCGTCCCCGGCCAAGGAATTTCAGCAACCACTTTACACCCAACTGTGATGAATAATCATTGTGCGCTATAATACTAACGCGTGCGCGCATACATTGCAGAGCTTGCGGAGCAAGCCTGCTTGACTCAAAAGCTGGTAGACCCTTGCAAGACTTGCTATAAAGTAACTGGTAGGAAGACTCACAAAAACGTCCTTTCCATTTACATAAACGTGCTTATTACATGGCGCTGAGTGACTGCAAACCAACAGATTCAACAGCCTTGTCGATCGCTTGCTGCTCTAGCTAGCTCAATTACTATAAAACGTGACGTCCCATTACACGCACACATTGCAGCGCCATCCGGCTTGGGGCTTTTTGAAGCAAGCTGGCATTTGTTATTAGCAAGCATAAGATGCCTTTTACAAGCTGTGACGAATTTATGGAATTTTCCAGGTCTGCTGACCCTGCTTCAACAGTTCTCAATAGGATGCCTTGTAGTGGGGTTACTATAAGTAAGCGGACTTTCACCAAAAGGTTTTGAAGCCTGCTCTTCTAAAACGGGTTAGAGATCCCCCCCCTTGGACATTAATTAGCTGATGAGTCCACTGACACAGTGACACAAGAGCAACTTGGGTTGAATGTGTGATATATTAATGTTGAGGAGGGGGAAATAGTTGAGGATTTTTTAGAGCTAAAATGGTTATTGCGGCCTAATACTGTTGATAATCTGTTTCCAACAGTAATGGAAGTAACTGGCAAAGAGGATAACAAAAAATGAAGCTTGTACGACTAACTGCTGATGGTGTGGCGATAATGATATATCAGATAGTGGAGGTGTTATCTAACACCCCATTTTCTGTACCAAAACTGGCAGGGTGTATTGGAGCACCTCTTGGGTATATTATACACTTAGTATATAGATGTTTACAAACACTCTTGGGGTGTAGAGTAAACCATGGCACATTCTAGTGCTCACCACAACACCGAAAGGTGTAAACCTTCACTGACCCAGCAGGTATGCCACAACTTCCTTTCTATGCCTTGTGCATCGTTGTTGAAATTCATGTTATGTTAATAACATTAACGTTTCAGAGAGTTGCAATCTTCCCTGTGAAACCCCCAATAATTACTACTTAATTCTACAAAACCAACAAGCCTCACAGTTTTAGCTCGGTATAGCTATTATTGTTAATGTATGCTGCAGGCAAAAAGCACATTCCAAATGGTAGCTACAAAGGGACTCTGATTGCTGATCCATTTAGTGAGGCGGCTATTGACTGCAACTGCAGATTAAAAATGATGTACTTCAGTACACCATTTGTGTACAATCAGGAGGATCAATTGACTGCTTTGATAACCCATGTCATGGTGAAAAAGTTTTCCTAGCAAAGTGCTTTGCAACGCCATTGAAGTTGACAAAGCTGAAAATGGAACAATTGTCTCAATATTCTGCGCTAAGATGAATTGTGGAGACCTTTATTATAGCAGTGTGGCATCTAACTTTGTAATAATATGTAAGTCAATGCTTTTAAAACCCCAGATGTTTCCACACTTAACATAATTATAATTATTCAGTGACATGTAATGAGAATGCTGAGTTCAAAGGAGGGGAATGCAATGGGAATTACACTGGAGATGGAATATCTTGTACACGTGAGTCTGATTTACCTGATAGATGGGTAACTGTAATAGAACATCGGTGAGCCAAAAAATACAACCGCTGCTCTGTCATTGAGCCAACACCCTTAATGGCTCCTTGGCATCGACACACACATAATTCAGGCTCTACTATTTGACGCATTGTTTCAGTTACTGTCCTTATCCTATTGCTTCAGGGACATTAGCCATGACTGCTTACGTTGAGGATATTTCTTTTCTTATAGCTGGTCATACTTTCGCACAGAACATTAACAAGAATTATTGTATTAGAGTGGAGCATGGGGCACCCAGCCATCATGGCTAATTCTCTGCCTACGGATGACCCTTATACACGAAGGCCACATCCTTAGGTAGGATTGGCAAAGACGAACAGAAACAGAAGGGAATAGAGATGCTTGTTTGCTTGCTTGTGGTGCCACTTGCCTGGCTGCAGTGCCAGTGGCTTGCTGCTGCTTAGCCTGCTTCGTTGTCCCTCAGATAGATAGACGCTGCTGTCTGGCCACATGCTGCTGATGCTATTGCGCATGCCTAGTTGCTTTGGGACGCCCTCATTCAATGGGCTGCCACTACTACCCTTCACCAATGCCTAGTCGTCCCTACATTAACTCTGTCTAATTGTCATTAAACATCATTTAATGTATGTGACTCTATTAAGTACTGCCCAACCCTCACTGCCCTAATGGGGTTGGTTTGGAGGTATCGTGAAAGGGTCATCCCAATTAAAGGGATTTTTCCTTTTGTTACAGCCTCTGAGAATGGACACGGCTCTACAGTTGGATGCCTTGCGATTTTCGTCTTAATTGGCTTCTCACTTTCATTGCCGGCTATATATTGCACTCTGAGGAAAAAGTAGAAGCTAAATTAGAGAGTCGGTAGACTCTCTATATAGGGATGACACGGGTGAAATCTCACGTGATCCGCGTACAAAACGACTAAAAACTCGGTGAGAATCACTCCCTAGGCCTTCAAAACATACTAGCAATAGTCTACGGGCCCATATCTACCTATACATGTCCCCCAAG